AACTTCAGTTGTAATAAAGAATGTAAATCATCAGAAAGTAAGCTTCAAATTTGCAGGTATTTCTGTCTGTTTTTTTTCATTCTTGTGTTCCATATCTAAAAGTGTGTCTGGTACATACACCATAAAGAAGCAAACACTTAATAAATATCTGTTGAGAAACGAATGACTCTAAAAATGCTGAAAGAATTTAGTATAAAAAAGTAAAGTCACAGGTTTTTGTACCCTCAAACAAAAATATAAACACTAGTTGGAACTTCAGAGATCCCTGGGGTTAAAATGTTCAAAGACTGATGCTAGACCCAACATGATGGTTTACATAAAGTAGAGTTGCACTTCTCTTAAGGAAATAAAAGCATTTGGACAATTATACCCTAATTATAACTTTACACACTATTTGTATAAATTTCTACAATATTGATTTTTATGTGGTGAACTTAGTTATGTAACGGTAGACACACACACTTATTTACATCTGTTGCCATCAGTCAATTCTGACTCAGGATGACCCATGTGTTGCAGAGTAGAAGTGTGCTATATAGGGTTTTCATGGCTCGGACCTCCTTTGGAAGCAGATAAATGGGCTTCTCTTCTGAGGCCCTTCTGAGTGGGTTGGAGGTGCCAATTTTTAAGTTAGCAGTCCAGTGCTTAATTGTTCTCACCACCCATAGACTTCTACTAGTAATATCATTTATATATTAGTGAGTTTTTTTTTACTTTTTGGCAATTTACAAAAATTAGATAACTTGATCCTCCTCTGTGAAATAAGAAGAGCAGATATCATGATTGCTAATTCACAGATGAAGATATTTGGGCTCAGAAATGTTGAATCCCTTACCTGATTATACTAAGATTTCAATACAATAATAATAATAACAATGCAGCAAATGTACCAAGTTACTGCTCAGAACACCTTTCCATGCTCCTTTTCATGTATTTTCACCAATGACACTGCATGGTTTTCAACATTTTTAATTCCATTTTTCAGATGCAAACACCAAGTTCTGGGGAGATGGAAGAAATTTCCCTGAGTCACAGATCTAATCATTAATGGAGATTGGATCTAAACTGATATTTTCTGATACCAAATCAGGTATCAGAAACCCTGCCTACCCACCACTTAAATATTAATCCTATGTTTATTTTTACCACCATATTTATGATTGTATGTGCAGAGATGATGCATGGAAGTATAGGATGTAAATAGATGTCCCTCAAATTGCATATGCACATGAAGCCCTCTTCCAAACTAAGGAATTTGGAACACCATCTAATCATATCCCCTAGATCAAACATACAGTTATAAGTTGGATAGCTGTGTGAAAGGATATCTGTGACTGTCAAACACAATTGATGAGTGTTTGTGTATATGTGAAATAAATACATTAATTGGTTGTTGACATACATTGTTATATACAGAAAGGCAGGAATGATCCCAGCAGCTTGCAAAGTACTCCCAGTAGCCATCATATTTCTTTTCTATGAAGACTGCTGGAAGTTTCTGGAATGTAGTACGAATGCCTAGGGCACCTGCATGTTACAGGACATCTTCTTATGTCTGTGAGATTCCCTTACCGGTACAATGGTTAATGCACTAGCTGTGAACGTGAGGCACCTTGTCAGAAAGGCTTGGCGATCTACTTCCAAAATACAGTCATTGGAAACCCGATGGAGGACAGTTCTGCTCTGACACACATGACTGTGCCATGAATCAAGGTCAACTTGATGGCAACTGGTTAACAGTATATATCTAAACAGTGTCATAAGATTATAAACTTTCTGACAGAAGTTCACAATATGTGCTAGAGCTATATAT